CGCCATGTTGTTATGTTAATGCAGAAAAGAAGGGTGAGATTTGACGACGTGGAGCGCGTTGAGTGGTTTGCGAAACTTCTGTCCGTGCACTGTACTCTCGTAAATCAGTGACGTCGCCCGTGTCAGCTTATCGACTTCGCTGGGTCGGGTATACGAAACTTCCACATAGTCCACTCGGTAGCCTAGGCAAGTAGGTAATTTCTGGAGCCAAAGGCACCGGCTTCCTCGGAAAGCGTCTCTGGCCAAAAAGTGATGCATATTCTGTCTGAAGAGGAGAGGAGTTTGCCGACCAAGACGCCTGTCAAGCTTGACTTGCGTCATTCTTACAGCTGCCACGAGGTCCGCAGCGCAGAACACTATCATCGAGCAGCGAGCCTTTCGTAGCATTGTTTCTTGACAACTGCTTGAATTTAAATACTGAGCAGGAGTATGTGACGCCATTGATCTCGCCACTTGTTCTGGCAAACCCTGCAAATACACTTTTCTAGCTACATATAAACTCCGTCTCATCGAAAAGCATTCATAAATCCCTTAAAGCCAGACATGAACGACTCGGAAGCCAGTCACAACGATGTAGTCCCATTTTTGGAGCCTCAGGTTCAGCATACCACAAACCTGACGCACACCAGGCATGGGCAAGAGACATGTCCTTTATATTCGTGTACTATCACGCTATCATGCAACTTGTTCATGAAACACGAATTAGATGCACCTGATATACCCTCATCGAATCGCAGGTGGTTTCTAGCACACATTGAAGTCATCGGGACTATGCTGAACATCTCCACCTTTCCAAGCAAACGACTTTTGAGATCCCCTCATAGTCCTCCCTCCACGTCTCACTCCAAGCGTCTGACGCAAAGTTACACACTGCAGGGTGCGGAAGTTGGTATTGCAAACGACTACAAGAAACGCAACTTTGTCATCCGCGTTCGTGCCGAGGCTGAGCAATTCTTGCTAGAGGTGGAATCTCTTTCTGTCTTGCTGAACGTCATTCATGTTCTTGAGACAGCGATCGATATCAGTCTTCCACTAGAGAACAGGAAAATGCCTGGGTCATCGAGGTATCCACGCCGTACGCCAGTGGCTATACCATTGAAGGATCAACCAACGAGAACGATGCTTTTCAAGAGATGGATAAGGAGGGTAGTCCGACCAAGTTACTTTCCTTCAACGGGTGTTGGTAGGGAAGTCATCACCACGTCTTTGTCAAATGTACGTGATACCAACAGATCTATCAGGTCATGGTCTTTTCGAAGCTGACAACCCTTCACAGATCTGCCCATGTGTATCCTGCAATACACAGCTTACAGCGCATAGCGGATCATCATCGATTGAACTTGGACGAAATCTTGCAAGTGAGAATTCGAGGCGCTGGAAAAATTATGATTTGTCAGACTCGCAGACGGAGTCTTGGATTAAAGAACTCGGTATGGCATATCGATGCACGGGAACACTCAGCTATGCAAGCTCCTACAAGTATCAGTTTTGCGAACAGGATGGTCGTCAGGTACCAGTCTGTAGAAAGAAAAAATAAACTCACCGTCTATGAGGAGAAACGCCTCTAATATCTTGTGTAACCCACTGTATATGTCTAGCGGGAGATCATCTTCGTAGGGGTCATCGTCGCTAGGGCTACTACTAGATTGATTGATTGATTGATTGATTGATTCGATTGATCAGGCTACTTGGCTCTACAGCAAACCTATCAGCCGCCTCCTACTGGTTCTACCTTTTATGTTCCTCTTTGCCCTTGTTCCATTCTAGCTTCCCCTTATTCGTCTGTCCTTCCTTGCGCAGCGAACCCTCCCGTCTTGCAAAGGAAGCTAAGAACCGCCTTTACCGCCGGAATGTCCGCTTTCCATTTTTCCCTTGGTCCATCCACTGGCTGTGCAGTTCTTGGGTCTTCCCAAGGGTTCCACCCCCGAAGTATATAAGATAGGTCTCTCCACCTGTGTCCTACTGCCTCGATAGCGATCTGGCGATCCTCTAGTAGGAGGGGACATTCGTATATCACATGAGTGATGGTTTCTCGTGCTGCTCCGCACTCGCAACCTGCTGTATCTACTGTTTTCTTCCGATACAGATTGCTCCGTAGCCGTGAGTGTCCTGTGCGGCACTGGACGAGGATAGATGCCTCCGCGGCTGATAGTGCGTTGTACACTGCTGCTATGTGTGGTCCGGGAAGAGCCCCATCTAGCTGCCATGTGTATGCGCCTATGTCGTGGATGTTCTGAGGTCGCTGGGTCCTTATCCTTTCCCAGACTTCGTTCAGTCGTGTTTGCAGTGTCTGCCTGGTTACCCTTAGCGCCATCTTCTTTGTTGGCCTTGCATAGCGCTGTTGGTATATCTTTGACCTTGTGAGGCTAAGGATTGATGGGCTCGGTAGATCAGGTGAGTTAGGAGGGTTAGAAGGAGTCGGAGGGTCAAGAGGGTCAGGAAGGTAAGGGGTGTTAGTGGTGTGCTCGTCGATGAAACCATCTTCAATTGTCTCCTTTGCCAACCTGTCCGCCTTCTCGTTCCCCTTGATACCCTTATGGGCTGGTATCCACTGTACTAGAACCGACCTCTCCTCCCGCTTGCCGAGGGCGGCTATGTGGTTCCGGATATACCGTACAATGTATTGCCCATTCGGACTCTTCCCTTCTACGATGTGTCGTATAGCCCGCTTGCTATCTGTTGCGATGATTGTGGTCCTAGGGAGTGGTCTTTTCCGGGCTCGGTGAGCTAGGGCCGCTTCGATAGCAATGAGTTCTGCAACCGTTGGATCACCAGCTGCCCAGTCGGGTATCGTCCTTTGGGTGATAATCTTTCCACTCTCTCCTTCTACTACTGCGATTCCTGCCCTTCCCTTTTCAAAGGCGGCGTCTGTGTATAGAGTGTGCTTGTCGTTCCTAGGCATCCTTGCTCGAAACTGCCGGATGACCTCTTCTTCATCTCCCTCTAGACCTCTAGCCCTACATCCTTGGATGCCCTCGTTCCATCGTTCCTGGAGAACCGGCTCTACTGTCCCCATTAGACTATCTACTGTAAGCCCGATGGTAGGGCCAAACTTTCTAGCCGTGATGGAGAGTGGAGATGGGTAACTCTTGCCCTGCGTGTATAGCCTCGTGAGACTGTCGAACAGTGGGTTTGTTTCCGGGATGGTAAGGCTCCGGACGAGATGGTTTG